ATTTTAGACTTTGATTCATTTTTTCTTTCTTATATTTTACTTCTATTTCCTATGATCTGAGCGGTTAAGTATTTGCCATTGAAACAAAGATTATTTACATTTAAAATAAGAAAAAAAAACTTGTAGATCATCAAATTAACCTGAAATTTTAAGATATTTTACTTATGTTTAGACATAAAAGTTTTAAACTCCTAGTTTTTTCCATTGCATAATGTGAAGCATTTAGGTGATGATTGGATGCATCTTCAGCTGCTCTTTGTTAAAGTGGTACTCGTTCTGTCGACTCATTATCTGACATAAAGTTCATTCATTAGCATGAATTTTAAACTAAATCCCGTTGACTCTCTGCGTCTCACAGACTCTGCAGCTAACGGTCATTTGCTGTAGATAATTTTTCCATTAATAATCGGAGAGCTAAAGGTTCCTTAAAGAATGTTTCCCACAAGAACTAAAGCTGTATGAAACTAAAACTTTTCTGCCTGAAGGGTTTTGCATAGAGGACATTGATGGACGGAAACCTGTATATATTGTTTAACATTTTGTTATAATTGCTGCTCTGAGTTGGTCGCTCTGTCAGCTAAAGGATCGTGTTGATCCAGTAATTAATTGATTACTGAAATAGTTGACAATAATTCCAATAATGGATTAATCAGCTGCAGAACTGGAGAGCTCCTTCATTTCCTCATTGTGGGACAATAATTGGATTTTCTATTCTATTCTATTCTATTCTATTCTAATCCTTCATTAATTGGTTGGGTTTTAAAGCCTGTTTATCCAGCAGGTGACCAACAGTCGCAGTTGCATTTCTACGGACTTCTGTCATTTGGTGCTCAGCACCTGTAGATGTTTACATCAATATCAGTAAAGTTCGTCTTCTTCTCTGAATGTCTAAAACAAACATCTCTTTTCAAAGATATCTACAGTTTTCTTTTTTAATCTTTTCAGAGATGATGTGGATAAATATAAGTACCGTGAAGAGCAAACCATTCGCTTTGCTTCAAAACATACAGCATATGAGGATCAAACCAGAACACCAGGAGAGGAAGAACTTTGGCATAAAATCCAGGTATTTCATGCAGACATGGATGATTCTAAAATTCCAAACTGGATCAGGTGAGGATTCCTGATCAGTTCAACAAACGGAGTAACTCTGCAGAAGGGTCTTGTTGCAGCCGCTCCATTTACTGTAAACAGAATGAAGTCCCAACCAGCAGCTCCGGCCTCAAAGAAAACATGGCGGCTAAAAACCAGAGTGGAATATTCTGACCAATCGGGTCACAGTGGAAGAAAAACAGCTGATCAGGTCCTGCTAACTTCTAAACAATGACGTGTTTTTAAGTCATAACTTTCCTTTTTGATAAAGCTTATAGTTAGGGTGGCTCAGGTTATCCTGAGCTATCTCTATAGTTATGCTGCTATAGGCTTAGACTGCTGGAGGACATAGGGACCCCTTTTTCATCATTCTGCTTCATTCTATCTCTATTCTCCCACTCTGCAGAATCTGTTAGTTCAATCTCTAACGTTCTGCTCTCTCTGCTTTTTCTCATAGTAGCTTCATCTGGTCTGTTCCTGTTTGGCTGTGACTCCATCCTGGAGAGAAATATCAGCTGTGCTGCTGCCATCAACACCTTTGTTTCTAGATGTTGGAGCTTGGCCTGTTTTTCAGTGTAGTCCCGTTTCTCTGACTGTGACTAACTGGATGTGCTCTCTTCATCCTCTGACATGGGAGCTGGCTCGGAGCTCGTCTGCCTGGCTGTGTGTTTCCTGGACGGGGCCGCCTGTGGAGCTGGTTGACAGTTGCCTTTTGTATCTATGCTTCTTTTTCTATGTCTGCTTCTGTCTCCTTGAACCCCAGTCGGCCTCAGCAGATGGCCGCTCACACTGAGTTTGGTTCAGCTGGAGGTTTCTTCCTGTGCAAAGGGAGTTTTTCCTCTCCACTGTCGCTACAAGCATGCTTAGTGTGAGGGATTGCTGAAGAGTCAATGACTCGATGCAATCAGCTGGTTTTCCTTAGATAGAAAACTTTGAATCAATCTAACTGGATGATCTGGTGAACTGGAAAGTGACCTGAGATGACATGATGTGAATTGGCGCTATAGAAATAAACTGAATAGAGCTGAATAACTAATTTAAACTGACATCCATCTGAGCTGGATTTGAATTCAAAGATTAATCCAGGTTGTTTCCAGCTAACAGCTACTTAAAGGTGAACCAGTTAAGCTTTTCTTCTAAGACAGTTTGATTAAAGATTAATGATTACTCTGACTGACATTCAGCTTCTCTCTCTGAGTTTTCTTCTAGGAATGTAAAGTATTTGCACCCTAACCCTAAAGATTCTCTACTGTGACTAGCTAAAGGTGTTCAAGCATAAACAGGATAGTTTGGCATCAACAGGGAGAGTCGGCTCCTCCATTCTGGGCAGAAATCAGAGACAACGATGGATTCCCTGAAGAGCCGTGCCAAAACAATGCTGGTGACGAAGAGGATGGCCTCTATTGTTCCCAGAGAAGATCCCTCCCAGCGCAAAGGTCGCCTGAGTCCAGACCCGCTACAGAAACCTACAGGCTCTCTGTTCACATTTTCCATCCCAGCATCAAAATAAAAAGAGGGTTTTAGTGATGCCTGATTCTAAAACCCAGAGTCACATTTTTTTTTTTTTTTTTTTCCTGAGACATCGCTCCAACATCCGGTCCTCCCAGTGAGATGAAGGTCTCCTCACAGTGGACCGAATGCAGAGGAGATCTGAGGGGAATTCCTGCCGCCATCCAGGCCTCCGTGACTCAGCCAGTGAGTCGCTGACAGGATTAATATGAATGTCCTAAATTCCTAAAACTCCTTCCTTCCTGTGTTTAATCTGATCCCAGCTGAGCGGCTCCCACAGCGCCTTTATGGACCCGACTTTCCTCCAGAACCTGGAGCATCAGTCCAACATGTCGACACCAGGATTCACAACACGGCTGCTGTGACTCTCACACAGACAGTGGCGGATCTAGAACAAATGTACCAGGGGGCCAGGAGGGGGCCAGCGTGTTTTCATTAGGGGAACAGAAAAGCATGAAATAAAAAACGGGGCAAGGAATTCAAATATATTACGATAGCTGCATGAAGGGAAATTTATCAGGTTTAATAAAAATTCTATGTCTCATTAGGTCAATATACATTCAGAATTTAGTCATTTTACATATTTTTGAATTAATGTAAGTCAAGATTACCGTTTTCTATAAAATCTGAATTAGAACTCAAGAAAAACTGATAAATTTATCTGTAAAATTTAGAGTATTTTCTTTTTTATTTGTTTTGAATAATTAATATAACATTATTAGTAAGAAAATAAAATGAAATTAATCCAAAGGACCTATCAGTAACCATGTCTGTTCCAGCACATATCAACCATAGAATTTCTTTTGAGTATTATGTCTTCAGTACAGGGGCCAGGACAATGATCTACAGGGGCCCTGGCCCATGTCTAGGACCGCCCATGCACATAGACTTCTCTGCCGTCAGCTGGAAACTACGGTTCAGTACCTTTTGGTCTCTGTGTCGCATTTCTACCAGCTTTTGAAATCTAAAGGTGAACATTTAGGTGTGAACTTTGACTAGGCCGTCGTGAGACAAACATAACCAGTTCAGCTCAGACTCCCTTTGCCTCTGGCAGGTTTCCCTCATGGAACGTGTTCCTCCAAGCTTAGACCATCTTCTAGAAGACAGATGGAGCACAACTCTGGGTTTAAAGCTCATATTATAATCCTGCTTTAAACTTCTCTGCAGTTTTCTCCATCCTCTGCATTCCTTGTTTTTCATAAATTGAACAGCTTTTGTCTGGCTGTGTGTTTCCTGGACGGGGCCGCCTGTAGAGCTGGTTGACAGTTGCTTTTTGTATCTATGCTTCTTTTTCTATGTCTGCTTCTGTCTCCTTGAACCCCAGTCGGCCTCAGCAGATGGCCGCTCACACGGAGCCTGGTTCTGCTGGAGGTTTCTTCCTGTTCAAAGGGAGTTTTTCCTCTCCACTGTCGCTACAAGCATGCTTAGTGTGAGGGATTGCTGAAGAGTCGATGAGTTGATGCAATCAGCTGGTTTTCCTTGGACAGAAAACTTTGAACCAATCTGACTGGATGATCTGTTGAACTGGAAAGTGACCTGAGATGACATGATGTGAATTGGCGCTATAGAAATAAACTGAATAGAATTTAATTGGAGTTAATACCAGAAAAACTCTTTTAAAGTTTGTAGTTTTTGGGAGAAAGTTACAGGGTGGGAATATAAACCTGTCTACGATGCTGCTGGCCCTTCATGCACAGCAGAGATCTGCTGGGACCGTTTTTCACATGCAAACAGAGAAGTGAAGCTGGATGATGAGGAGCAGCGTGTCGTGGTGGAGCTCTGACAGGAGCAGCTGGGTGCCAGCTCACCATCCCATATTAATTACACACTAATTACTAGCGTGTAATTACTTGCTGCATTCACAGCGTTTCTCTGTCTACTGCATTCCTGACTCAGTCGTTACCCTAAACACTCAAACATGGAGGCAGGATGTGAGGCCGAGTCCCACAAACAATAAGCTGGGAATGTCTGCTGGTCCCAGTCAGCCCAGTCAGCCTGCTCCCAGTCTGGAGCCTAAATCCGTCTTTCTCTCCAACATTTTTCTGAGTCAGCAGAAAGTCAGCCCCCACCCCCCCTCTCCTATTTTCCATTTCACATCACTTTAATCTTCATTATCTTTCCTCTGATTTGTGTTTAAATGAACTTTGAGAGTCTAATAAGTTTCTGCTGCTTCACATTCCATCACCCCCCCCTCCCACACACACACACACACCCTGCTGAGAGCCAACAAAAGGTAGGAATCCACGCAGAAGGAAAAGTTAACTCCAGCTCTCCCTCCACCCCCGCCTGAGGTAGAACAGGTCCTGCTAAAACCCTCAAAAGCTCGACCAATAAGCAGCCAGATCAGGAAGGAAAAAAAGGAAAGAAATGAGAGGAAGCCGTGATTTTCCAACACTCACCAGATAGTTCATGTTGTCCCTGGAGCTGTGAGATAGATGGAGTAATTCCAGGACAGGACGCTCAGATCCTGAAGGAAAAACAGATCCTCTAAAGCTTCAGCTTCTACTCCTCCCTCCCTCCTTCCCTCCTTCCTTCTCCTGCTTTCCTTCCTTCTCCGTCTCTCCTTCGCTCCTCTTTTCAGCAGTCAAGCTGATCCCGACACATCCTGCTGCTTCCTGATCTCACACCACAAGAATGAGAGTTCTGCTGCGTGGCCCATCAACCAGCAGCCCTGAAAGCCTCTGATAGGAAAAGAGGGAGGAGCGTGTAACCCGACACGTCACTTCCTCTCAGGTCCTGGTATTCCCTGTCCATCCTGGTCATTGGAGCTTTTATCTTGTAAATGGATTTGCCCTCCCTCTGTCCTCTCTGCCCCTTCTCTCTCTCCCCCCCTGGCTGTTAGAGGCTGTCGGTGCAACAGAGCAGACAGCATCTCTCCAGCCTGCTGCCGCCTCAGGCAACAAGTTACAGAACATGAGTTTGTTTTGCTTCGTCACTGAGGGAACCTGATCTGGTTCCTGCACCACACCGGCTCTCTGATGGTTTGGATAGTAAGGAACTCCATCCAGAGGCCCTAAACCAGGATCCAGACCCGCTCCGACCGGAAAGCACAGGTCCTGGATTCACAAAGTTTACATAAAGCAACACGTGATGTTTCTAAGATCTTTATCTATTTGCATGGAGACCAATCCAAAAAAAATCCTTTTGAAAGACACTTTAAAGGACGGTGATACTGAAATCTTTGACCAGATTCACTCCTCGACCTCCACCTCTGTAGATGAGCTGGTAGATCACCGTCATTCTAAGTGGCTCCAGTTAAACTAAAGGTTGTTTCTGGAAAGAAAAGTGAGGAAAAGCTGAACGCAGATGGATATATTCATCTTATTTCCAAGGCCTGCACTGAATTTGACAATTTCTTCACTGATAAAAAAACTCAAAGATTAGATGTTCAGTCGGTAAAACAGCCTCAACTAACAGTGTATAAAAACAAAACGGAAATAACTCACTATGTATTAAGTCCAAATGGGAAGCAGAATTAAAACTGTCAAAGAGTGACACACAACAGTCCTTTACAAGCTCTAGAAGCTGGAGGGAATTTGGCTGGAAGAATGTAATATGCTACTTTATAACACCTTAATTACAAAATAAATGACTCAGCAACAATGGTGGAGGCAATTTGGCCAGATGAATGCCACACTGCAAAAACAATCTAGAAATAAAAAACTTCCTAAATTAAGTGTATTTACCATTAACTTAAATAGGTAAAGGAAATAGTTTGCCAATGGAATGATTATATTTACTCTTAGAATAAGATAATTAGATAAAATGCTATTCAAATAAGGAAATGCAATTGTGTTTCTTATTTTAAATGTAAATTTTCTTGTTCCATTGGCAAAATATCTCTTTTACCTCCTCAATACAAGAACAAACACACTTATTTTATGAAAAAAAAAAGACTTATCTAGATTTTGATTTTTTCCAGTGCAGTCATATATTTTGGCATTGAACAAAAACAAAAACCTACTGGGATCAAGTTGTTCAGGCTATAGAAGAAATAATAGTATACAAGATACCCAAGGACCCAGGTATTGTGTGCTTGGGCTGGCTGGAGAGCCACATCCATCTCCTCAAAATCTGGTTAAAAAGTGAACCTCCACACCAGATGCAACAGACATCAATAGTAAAAGGAGATATGAGCAACCACCTAAGGATCAAGTTCAAATACCTGAGACAGGAGGAAGTTGCTTGATTGGAAAGGGCTTATCCTCAATAAGACTGGAAGGCCAGACACATCTATAGAAGCAGACCTGTGCGACCCCCACATCCCCTAAACATGGATCTCTTATACCTTTGTTGTATTTTTGTTGCCTTCTCTTTTCACTTTTCTTTTTTGTCTGTTCTATGCAGACTTCAAAAATAATAAATAAAAAGTGAAAAAAACATCAACCAAAGTTTCCTCCATCAACAAAAACAGACAAATTACCAAATAAACAAAACCTTTTTTGAATCCTAACCAAACTGTTCTTCCTGCTGTCTCCATGTTGCCGTAATATTATCTGATTAATTAAAAAAATAAAATAAACACACCCCTTTTAGACAGGTGTTTTCATCCAGGCCCTAAAAACACATATTTTCTAACTGATGTTGAAAGAAAAGAAACTCGTATTTTGTTTATTATCCAGATGCTCCACCTAATCAGATCTTAATAAACAACATCATCAGTTACCGTAGCGATAGAGGTGACAGCCCCCTTCTTCATCTCCATGTCACCAGGTGAACATGAACCCATTCCACCTCTAAATGCAGAGAAAGGAGGAAAAAGGTTTCAAAGTTAGCATATAGCTTCAGCTAATCCAGCTAGAGAGCAGCAATCAGGCCTGAAATCTGGACTCAGACCTGAACCTTCAGAGGCTGATAGAGACGCGAACGAAGTGGACCTTCTATTACCGGAAGAACATCTGCAGGATTAAAGGACTGATGCTAAAAAAAACACTTCCTGCTTCGTTCATCTACAGTAGAATTGGTCCCTGCAGCCGCCTGCTTCCTCACTAGAGCTATAGAAAGTAGATCAGACAGCCGATCCAGACGCTGCTGCCTGCGTCCTCACTAGAGCTATAGAAAGTAGATCACATCAGCCCAGTTCTAAAGTTTTTCCTCTGGCTTTTCGTATCTCAGAGAATAAACTTTAAAATCCTTCTGTTAGTCTAGAAATCGCTGAATGTCTGAGCCCCAAAATAAATTACAGACTGGTTGGAAGGGGATCAACAGCCAGACCTCTCAGATCTACTGGATCAAAACCAGAACCAAACACTGAGAAGCAGTTTTTTAGCTCTTCTGCTCCAATAATCTGGAATAAACTAGAACTTCTTCCTGCCTGCAATTTTCGTTTTGTGAAATTTCCCAGATAAATAAGTTGGCTTTGTTTAAATGTTTACATTTTTTTATGAATTCACAAAAAATAAGTTCTGAAAATCTTTTTTCACTTTATCAATAAAGGCTCATTTAAACTGAATTATTTAACAGGAAGCTCAACTAAATCCAGTTTGAGAATAAGTAACCAAGGAACAGGAAGACAACAGGCTGTGTAGGAAGAGCAGCGAGGAGGAGTGGATGGGAGTCCATGGAGCTTGAAGCAGCAAACGTTAGGGTCCATTCCTGATTAATATGACTGATGGTTAGAAGAGAAATGTCATGGTGAGGTGCAGCCATCACTGCCCAGACTCTGCATCAACAGCAGCTCTATTGTTCCTACTGTCCAGAGGACCACAGCACCCACCTACACACACAGAGCTACGCCGCCCTCCATGACAACAGCATCTGTTAGACTGACCTCCATACTCAGAACAAGAAGCCACAGACTGTTGAATATGAAGATGGTAATGGTCTCTGCAGGGTTCTGTCTTAGTTCAGATAAAGGACGTCTTCACTAAGCTTCTGGCTCCATTTCCAGGTAACGCTTCAAAAAGCTGTGTCTGTGGAAAGTTCCTGTCCGGATCATCAGCTTTGTTTTCATTGACAGATGAGGAAAAACTGAATAAAAAATAACCTCTCCTTAAGCAACGCAGTCTTCAAAATATAGAGATTCATAATGTAGAGGTTTCACAGCTCTGTTTGAACATACAACTTTATTTAAAGCTTTGCAATTATAGAATCTGTCCAAACAATTCCAAAAAGTCATCTTGAAAACATTCCTTTCTTCAAATGTTGGCTACATATGTGTTTTTTCTCTGGCCAGAAGTTCGATGGCAAATCCTCCCTCTTCAAGTTGGCAAACCAACGACCAACCCGTCCGTGGAGGATCAGGAATCAGAAAGATGAAATAACTTTTTTTCACTTTTACCCGATGTATTCCAACATCCAGCTGCCATGCACGTGGGCATTGTCAGTTTCACTATAGCTCTGGTGAATTTCAATGGTGAAGTCCTCTGGAAATCTTCAATAATTGTTGTTGATTGCAGATGTGTCTAGTAGTTCCCATTGATTCTGCTTGTAAAGCGGGGAGAATGGCGCTAGGCTTACCGCACTGTGACGTCACTGCTGGAAGATGGCAGGAGGGAGGGGTTACTATATTTGGGCAAAAATGGCCGCTCCCAGACTCAGTGATCGTAACGAAAATTATTTTTTAATTTTTTTTATTGATTAACACTAAATTCATTAAATCACTGCAAACGTATTAGTTTTAGGTATAAATAACGATCCATTGATTATTCCAGCTGACCTGACTTTCTGTTTAAAAGTGATGAAGGTGAAAGGGTAGCAGATGTCGAAGAGTTAAATAAGCAACATGCTGCTGGCCGGGGGAGCAGGAAACCGCCCTCACTGAATCTGACTAAACATTTATAACATTTTAAATTAAATGCATTACTTACTACATTTGTTTCACTAAACAAAATTTAATGTTTTAAAACTGAATTAATTTGAGCTGAAAATGTATTCTGCTGTATTATAAATTAAATATTTCTGTTTTTACTTTCTGTAAAAAAAGAAAAATGTATATTATTGTGTCCAAACACCACGTCCTTAAGTCACAGAGTAATCAAACACAGATGCACAGATTGAGATTTCAGATCAACTTTAATTTACGTTATGGTGTTTAATCTGCAGCAGAGGAAGATAAATTGGCTTTGTAGTCGGGATGAACAATGTTGAAAGATCAGTTATAAGAAATGTAATACAGAAAATATAATGTTTGTGCTAAATGTAACTGCTACCTGTAGCTAAACTCTGAGCTACCTGCACTTTTCTGTGTTTTCTTATGGATATGTTTAACATAGTGAATTACAGAGCAATGGGATCTACCAATTCACGAACGCTCCACTGCTTCAGTTGAAATTACTCTGCGTCAGATCACTCTGCGTCAGATCACTCTGCGTTAGATCACTCTGCGTTAGATCACTCTAAGTTAGATTATTCTGCATTAGATCACTCTGCGTTAGATTACTCTGTGTTAGATTATTCTGGGTTAGATCACTCTGCGTTAGATTACTCTGCGTTAGATCACTCTGCGTTAGATTACTCTGTGTTAGATTATTCTGCATTAGATCACTCTGCGTTAGATCACTCTGCGTTAGGTTACTCTGCGTTAGATCACTCTGCGTTAGATTACTCTGGGTCAGACTACTCTGCGTCAGATCACTCTGCGTCAGATCACTCTGCGCTAGAACACTCTGCGCTAGATCACTCTGCGTTAGATTACGCTGCGTTAGTGCACTCTGTGTTAGATCATTGTGTGTTATTTTACTCTGCGTTAGATTACTCTGTGTTAAATTACT